TTGACACTGATAACCAGAAGTCAGGTTGAGATAATTCTGACCACGGCAACACATGAATTTCAGGATGATGCCCCAAGCGTTTGGTGTCGGCCACTAACTCAGAAGCTGAGTGTTACCGCTTCGCCATCGAACAATTTGCAAGGTTTGGAAAACTTAGGACATGGATGACCACACCAACAGCACCAGAGTGCTGTGTGATTGATCGATATCGAGCTCCGACGCATTAGAATGCCGTGCGTGTAGGCACGGGAACCTAGGGCACAGCGCACTCTGGAATTGTTCAACTGACATTGTGCCGATCCACAAAGGTGATTGTTCTAAACTCTGACATTGCAGTCACTGCAAGAGATCCTGGAAATTGCGAGATCCGACGAATGAAACTCCAAAGGTGCATGTATAATTGTTCTTGCACTTTTGGCTGATACTGGTGATCTATGCTATTGCTCAGAGGCACTGGTTTGAAGTCCTTGTTTTCACACATTCTGTCCAAACAAGCACTCAACAGAATCTTTAGCTCTTTCATTGTATACCTCCATGTTGCTGATATACAGATTAAATGTATGTTACAACTAAGCACGGCTCTTATTCCGCAGCAAATGCTGTTGATCCTAACCACTTCGGTTCCGGGAGTGGTAAAAAGCGGATACCGATGCGGTAACGCACATTTGTGCACCTGTCATTGGAAGCGGATGGGCTCCTGTTTCCCCCACCACACACACACACTTGGCGAAGAACATCCAACTACATGATGAAGTTCCCTGGAACCAAGTGCCAAACTCTCACAAACGAGTTGACTGTAATAACAACAAACAAGTTCAAAGGTTCGCACGCATGCATGACATAGCGGAGAATGATAGTTGGATGGCTTGGAAGGTTAAGCTAATTAATATTTTACATAGGCGAATATTTTCTGAAGTTTGACAATGTAAGCAAATTTCGAAAATATGCAGCTTCAGATTTCTGCTTTCTATGTAAAACGAAATCCAGACTCAGCTAGATTACGTTACATTTGGAGGGAAGTGTTCTCCGACGGACAGACCAATTGTGCCAAGGATCAACTGGGGAGTAACCACGAAGATGCATATGTCTGCTCGAGTCAGCGGCATCTATCACTAATCGTTTCTGGTTCCCATGCAAGCATTAATCCGAGATACAGGGAAAGCGTTCTTTGGGTATCCACTTGGGAGCGTTGGAACTTGGTACAGTAGTCCATGGGATATTCATGAGTATCCGAGATCATGCGCAATTTATAGGAGATCGGCAACTCGTGGACAAACATATGCGAAACATATTTTGTTTATGATCTGACTCATTTAGTTTAGTTCTAAACACAGGTGTTCCAACTGAGTATGCAATTCTGGAAAAAAATTGTGCCAGGTTGTAGTAGACATCCCAAGTACTAGAGTACACAAGGATACATGAAGCTCGCCAATCAGTTTCCTGCGTGAAGCCTTATGTACTCGTTTCATGTTCCGTATTCCCAAAGAACTCCTTAGGTAATGATTAACCAGTTTACCCAAATGACTGGTGGTAAAACTCAACGCAGTGACTTAGAACTAGCAAAATTGCAAGCGTCGAGTAGTTGCATTGCATAACTCCCTGGGTTGCTAAGTACCTTACAATGAACAGATTTATCATGGGATAAAAGCAAGTGCTTGACACGTCCCGTAGGATGGTTGAGGTGGATATGATGAAATCAAAATGTGTCTGGGTCATTTATCGAAAGTCTGCCGAGATGGATAGCTTGATAAGTAACATCAGTGTAAAATTAAAATAAATTATCGAGTGTAAACGTTCAGAAAGACACTAGGGTGCAGTGATCATTGAAGTAAGGAGTGAGAAAAGTAAAATATGGTCACTCACTTCGGTCCATTTTATACATAACTCCTGTTGAAAAGCATCCTTGACGTAATCCACAATGGGGGAGTTTAGGTAACAAAATGTTGGGAGCTAAGAGCAACATCTAATCCTTTTTTGAAAACACCCAAGGTAGGAGAGGATACAACTGAGTCTGGGAGTGCGTTTTAAGGTTTGCAAACCCGAAGGGAAAAGTAATTCCGTCGACATTCTAGGCGGCTATATTGTCCCTTCAACTTTAAGTAGTTACCTCTGAGCTGCGTGTTGTGGCTAAGTTTCAGCAAATGGCGGCATGCGTGGCTGGGGTCACTCAATATCTGATACACCAACATGAGATCGCCGCGTATTCGTCGATGGCGTCCGCTGAAAATTCCCAGCAACTTCAGCCTTCGGTGGTAAGTGTGATGGCGCAGGCCCTTTACATTCTTTGTTGCTCTTCGATGTGATGCCTCTATCGCTTCTAGGTCACGCTTCAACCAAGGTTGCCAAGCTGGGATAGCGTATTCAATATGCGGGCGCAAGAAGGAATTGTGCATCATTGGGAAGATTGATGGGTCAAATCTCCCGAATGCTCTTCGCAGCATGCCGACATGCTGGTTGCCTCTTTTCGCAGTTACCTCAGCCTGTTTTGAACAGTTGAGGTCTCTCCGTACGATCGCACCAACGTCACGTTCCTGGGGGCTATTCTGCAGTCCGTTGGTTCCAAGTGAATAGCTGTAGTTATGTCTATGGCGTAATTGTACAACGCGATATTTGTCTACGTTGAATGATAGGGCGTTTTGAACTGACCAGTTCGACACTGTGTTAAGATCGCACTGGAGACGTTCATGGTCGTCCGGTCCTCTGCTCCTTCACCATATCTTGATATCATCAGCGAAAAATAGGAAATCGGAAGTAATTGATCTCGCCAAATCGTTAATGAACACCAAGAATAGACGAGGTCCAAGAACCGAGCCTTTTGGTACTTCACACGCCACATCGATTGCATGAGAAAATGATTCTCGGACTCTCACCACTAGCAGTCGTTCTTGTAGAAAATTGTCAATCCAACTCAGGATTGGGTTCCAATGCCGCAATTCCGAAGCTTCTGAAGGAGAATGCCATGGTTTAAGCGATCAAATGCTTTTGAAAAGTACAGGTAGATGACACCGACCCCTACTCCATCATCAACAGCTTCAGTCCAGCTGTTACGTGCAATTAATAGGTTAGTATTACACGAATGCTTTTGACGAAAGCCATTTCGCTCTGGAGCTATTAAGTTGTGGCTTTCCAGGTACTGTATCAGCGCATCTGCGATGATTGATTCCATCACTTTGGATAGTACGGGAATTAGTGTACTTAAACAGTAGTTGGCAGGATCAGTGCGGCTACCTCCTTTATGGATAGGAGTGATGACCCCTCGCTTCCATAGTGCTGGAATACGGTTCTCCTTTAGATATCGCCGATAGAAAACAGCCAGTGGTGCTGCTGGATCACTAGCTACTGCCTGTAGAGCCTTTGGTCGGATGTTATCAGCTCCGGGAGAACTGTGGATACGCAAGGATAAAAATTTATTCAACACAGCTTCCGCAGTGAAGGTGATGTTTACTAAACTAGATGGTGGGGTATTAGAAGTGAGGAGAATGTTTGTGCTCGTTACCTGCTGGAAAGTTGGGGAGTAATGAAGCCGTAGGAGATCAGCTGCTTCCATTGCTGATCGCGTGCACCCATCAGCCGTGACTAGTGCTGGAACCCCTCGCTTTAACTTTCGAAGGCCGTTAACGTGCCTGTACAGGAGTTTGCGGTTCGTGCAGAATCGCTTTATTAACTTCTGCTTATGAGTGACCTTGTCTTCGCGGATCAGTTTTACAAAGAAGTTACGAGGTGTCACGTATGCAGTCCAGGTTTCGGCATTCGGGCAGTCCTGGCGATTTCGCCATGCCGAATCCCTCCGGGACATACATTTACGTGTTCTGCTCCTCAGAAATGAATTACGCTTGTTTTGGGTTAGAAGGACTTCTGCTCTGATGCGTGCGCAACCAGTCTGTTAAACGTCCTTGTAAATGTTTCCCATGCATCATCTGGGGGACATTCGGTTAAGAAAGTCCAAGATGTATCCTTAACAAGCTTAGATAACACATTGTAGTATGTGACAGTATGCACTTTATCCTCCTCCTTTTCAGGGTACTCCACATAGCAAATATAGTCAAAGAGTAGAGTAACATAATCACTACGACCCAGTGGTGTGCTTGTAACTATCCCGCCAACCATGAGTTCTTCGTTAGTGAGCACAAGATCCAGTATCAACGGCTTGTTAGCAGTTTGAAATCTGGTGGGAGAGGTTACGTGGTTGTAAAGAGGGTGGCTAGCAATAAGCTCTTGTAAGCAGGCTTTAAACTGCCTAACGTCGGTTGCCGGCGTTGCTATGTCATGCACGTTAAAGCCTCCCGCGATAAGAATGTGGGTGTAGGACTTGTTCAAAGCAAACTGGAAAACGCGGTTCAGTTTGGAGTCCATTTCCGAAGTTGTTCGTATAGTAGTAGTAGTAGTAGTAGTAGTAGTAGTTGTTGTTGTTGTAGTAGTAGTGGTAGTAGTAGTAGCAGTAGTAATAATAGTAGTAGTTATTGTAGTTATAGTAGTAGTATTAATAATAGTAATAGTATCAGTAGAAGTGGTTTTGGAAATAAGCACAATGTGTTACATGAACCCGTAAGCTAAAGGGCCTCTTACCGTGAAACCAGATTACCCTTTCCCTGTTTACCTCACGCGAGAATTTTCGGTCACATCAACCGCCGACATCTGTAATGCTCCACACGTTCCCACCTCTGCGTTCCATGCAGTGCAAATGTTCGAAGCCTTCACTGGGCCAAGGCAATTGAGACTTGCGAATATTCATTTTGGAAATAAATGACAGTCGGAAAATTGTCGCCACCGTTTAAAGGACATTCGGATAGTTGTCGATGGATGAATGCCATTTAAACAAGAAACACATGATATCCTTAAAGCATTACTCACTACCAGTGTCGATAATAGAAGTATACAGACGACCATGAGACTCTGCAGACCTATGAGCACTGAGGGCAATTTCCATGGTCATTTTTAATTATCACATGAGCAATATCCCACTCTTGGCACAATATGAATAATGACAAATATATCGAGACGCAGATGTTCTTATATTACAAACATGTTTACATGATTATGTGCTATTTTGCTGCAAAATAAGGGAGAAAATATGTAACTCCATTAGGGAGACATATAGGGTCAGAATTTTGGAAAAAATCAGTCAATACAGCGCACTGATTTGCAGTCTGACAATATTGAACAGAGGATTTACTCCTGACGTGTTCAGGTTCCTGGCTCAGAGCGACAATTGCAGAAATCTTCATGGCAGCAGGTTCGAAGTTGTCCGGTCCCACCGGGACGTGTGTCGTATGCGATGCACCCGCCAGCACAGACTCGAGAAACCTTGACCAGTTTGTTGTTCACGTAGTCAAAATCGGTCTGGAAGAGGGAAATTAACTTGGTCACAAGCACGAACAAGTAGACACCCACTACTCCTCAGTGTTATGCCCCTTTCAATGCAAATCTGAAGATAATCAAACAATAACTCAGGCTACAAGCTTCTCGGCTGGGAGTGAGGTATATACTTCTGAGTATAAGTGCGCACTGACAACTCAGCTAAACACATTAAATGGTAATTGTGTTCACGTCAAAACCTGTTGTCAAAGCTTGGTGATATACCCATTTTTATTCGCATCCATAGATATGCTGGACCGATTTAAATCACTAACCAACAGGTACACGCTAAGGTCGAGGCAACGCCTTTCATCTTCGCCTAACGGCTCAAACGCAAGCATAAACCACTAGCATTTGCCCGTGATGCTTAACAGCATAATGACAAACTGACCAAATAGATTACTTACTAAACATGCTCCGCACATTCCTGCCACCTTGGATTTATCTGGCTTACAGTCCGTGCAGTGATAGCATGTGAGCGCTGTAAAGAGAGAGGGAAAGGGGGAAGCAAGGATACATTGCGATCTTAAAAGCTGACTTAATGTGGAGGTAATGAGTTTTCGTAAAAGAAGTTAACCGTAGTTCTACTGGTAACCTAAAGACCTATAGAATGAAGTGATACCGGCAGGGAAATAATGCTCGATCTAGCCTATACAAAACTTACTGTACACCTCCATGATAAGCAACAGCGCGGTAGCAAAGAACAGCATGGCGAATAGGGCGTATAAAGTCACCGTCCGTCACACCATTCCTGCTCTGCTTATATGACTATATGGTTACCATGGCGTGAAGTCATGTTGAATTCAATGGCAGTCAGCCGAGCAAGATGCCACCAGGTGTGACCGTAGTAACAAATACCTCTATCTTATAGGTCCGCTAGCATTCCAAATTAGAACGAGATTAATCACACTTGACCTACCACAGCTATAGAGCAACTCACAGTTAGTTCGGTTGTCTACTGTCGCAAATGTGGTCCAGTAGTACGGGGTACAAAACAAAGCTTACTCAGATGGTTAGTTCAGGCACACGTATGTTAATTTAACATGTCAACCATACCAAACAATTTAAATCGCTTAAACAGGTAGAGAATTAACGTGTCTCATTTTTAATCGACCGCTAACTAGACAGTTCCTAAGTGCTGGGGTGAATTTAATTCATTTAAACAAATAGGTGATATAAATGAGATAAAACCTCCGAAGGTAACCACCCCAACCTCTTCACCACCTCACTTAATCAACTGTTTGACTATTTGTTGCTTGAATGTTCATAGTATAAGTCTTAACAATCGAACCTCTGAATGTTGACGACCCCACTATGTCGATCACTTTGGTCCTGTCGCTTGTGTTTTACTGTAGTATACCACTTACCGAACTGCGAAGTATGTATGGTATAAGTCTTGTCTGTAATATGTATGCATAGAAAAACATTAAGATCTTAGAGAAATATGCATGAAAACGTTTCAACTTCTGACAGAAATGTGAAAATTAGCCTGTTGTGCTTCCAATTGACGTAGGTTTGCGCTAGCTCATGGTAAAGCAGAGATCTATTAGGCTGTTCGGTAAGTAATTTCGTTTTTGTATTTTTCACATCAAACTTCACACCAAAACCATACTATCACTGTATATTTTGCCAGGTGATAGAGCAAGCATTGCTTGTGAATAATTTCGCTGGATTCTACGCAGTAGGTATTGGTTGATCCTCTCGAAAAGTGGGAAGTGAAAGGCAGCATTTTCGGCATATTTTATTTTTTTACTATCGTAGAGGTAAAAATACTGTTCAAGCAAAACTGGCTTGCAAAAGTTCGATCCGGCAATCTTGATGTTGAAGAAGCACCACGTTCTGAAATGCCAGCTGAACTTGATGAAGACAAAAGGAAGGCATTAATTCAGGCAAACCGGCAAATAATAACTCGGGAAATCGCTGAGAGATTAAATTTATCGAATACGATAGTTTATGATCATTTAAAAAGCCGAGGTGTAATCTCATCTCACGACACATTGGTTCTTTATGTTCTTACGGAACGAAATTTGTGCCTTTGCGTTGACGACTATGTGTTGCTTCTCAAACGTCAATAAAATGATCCATTTTTGAAACGCACCATCCCTTGGGACAAGAAATGGGTTACCTTCAACAATGTTAAAGCAAGAGATCAGGGAGTAAAAAAGATTAACCGGTTCAAAACACTTCGAAAGCCGATATTTATCAAAAAAGTTGATACAAGCTGTTTGGTGGGATTACAAAGGGATCCTTTCTTGAGCTTCTACTGGTAATGCAAAGGTCAACGCAATGATCAGTAGTGTCTTGTCATCAGCTGGACAACTTCAAGGATTCACTTAAACAGAGAAGGCCAGTATTTAACAATAGCAAAAGGATTTTGTTCTACCAAGATAACGCGAGACCTGATACGAGCTTGGTCGCACGACAAAAGCTTGTACAGCATGGATGAGATATACTGCCTCACGCACCATATTATCTAGATCCGACACCTTCTGAATATTACTTGTTCCCGACAATACAAACTCTCTTAGATAGTAAAACCTTTACTTCAAATGAGGAAGTCAGAAATGGCCTAGACCAGTTCTTTGCCTACAAAGCACAAAAATTTTATGAGCGTGAAATCGTGCTATTGCCAGAAAGATGACAAGTGGTATTGGACCAGAATGGACGATATATAATTCAATAAAATATGCATTCACTATAAGAATATTGTCTTTCATTTTTATTAAAAAAATGAGATTACCTTCCGAACAACTAGATAATAGTCCGTGCCAAGATGATCTGTAAACACAAAGGCTAGTGTCGCGGTGCCCAGCCCTGCGTTGTATTAGTGTTTGCAAAAGTCAATGGTAGGAATTACACCCACGTATTATGATAGCTTAATAGTAAATATCAATGAGCGTTATAAAGAGATGAAGACAAAGGCTGTTGTGTCCGATCGTCCAAAAAGCTTGCGTTTGCTTTAACCATTGATCATTGTAGAAAAATAAGACAAAAATGAAAGAGTAGAGGTGAAGGTGGGCATTTGTCGTTCATTCAGCTCGATTCCGTTGTGTTCGACATTTTTGTGTACATAATGCCGTTCCGCTCTTTCGAATGGGATCTTTGTTCTACAAAATATAGTCTGAATAACTCCGTTGTCTAAGCTAGCAAGAGGAATTTGTTGAATCGACCATGGCGAGCATAAGATATGAACCGTGTCTTAAGAATACTGGAAGCCCGTCCCGGATAGTTATGTGATGATTATGAACTCTGCGCGCATATTTTGCTCTAATTCAATCCAGGTAGAGCGAATTCTTCGTTCCCTATTTCGTAACGTGAAATGTGTTGCATTTGGTGAGAACAAGGGCACACGAAGCCGTCGACGTATCACATTGTAAAAGTGTGACAGGTTAATTATAAGCCTCCTGAATCAGATTGGATCAAATGTCTGCACCTTGCACCTTGGGCGGAACTCGGAACCGAGATTGAATATATATATGCGCTGAACGCGTTCTAGCACCAATGTATACGCCGCCGTACGTTACAATAAACCATTAGAACAGTTGGCCTGCATACATTCCGAACAATTGTAAGCTTAGCGTCAGTTGAGTGGATCAATCTGAGGAATATAGCTAGAGTAGGCTTTACATGTTCCGCGAAGTTCAAACTGTTGGAACAATGTAACTTTAAACCACGGACTTCAGTGTCACTAGTAGGCGGTTTACCAATGAAGGTCAGTGGGCTATATCAAATGTCACAATGGTATGGAAGAACCTCGCTGTTTGCATCTAAGTGGCTCATTTGAAGCCTTGTCTGTTCATATCTTAATGAATGAGCTCAAATGGGCGATTTACAACTTTGTTCCGAATGTACTGTGAAGGATAAGGAGTGAGAATTGATGGAATAATGGCTTTTTTATTACATCAAACTATTGCTTAACGGGCCCTTCAGTTGAGGGGGCAAACCCACAAGTAAGATTGTCGCTAGAGTCACGGTGAAGCTCACAGGTACACTGTACGCTTTCACTTCATACCATTGTTAAAAGAATGAGCAAAATCACGTAGTGTAAGTGGATTACTTTGTCACCAAGTCGTTTCTCTAACACAGAAAACGCGGAAGCATAAGTGACGAAAGTCAAAGTAGCGCTCACACTCGGTATACCTGATGCGAGGAGAAAATCCAATAACATGTCGACCGCAAGTACTGCATGATCAATGTTATCTGGTGGGCCCCCGGGCTGGTGGTTTGGCTGCGTTCCACTAGGTGATGGAATGTGCATTTGGGATGCATACAGAGCTGATGTGCCATTGTAAAGCCTTCTCGGAAACATTCATACTGATCTTCGTAACACAACAGAGTCCTCAGTTCAATTTGGCATTAGAATAAAACCTTGAAATTTTTAGTCGTTTATAGCTGTGAAGTAGCCGGGACTACGGAATCAGGCACTTAAAACCGTTATCAGAGCTCGCAAAAGCGCCGAGCATTTGCTGAAGGATCGCGTTGTCGAACTGGAGGATTTCGGTGTTGCTCTCTTCCATATCTGCACTTCACTTAGCTCGAATTGGTAGTGGAACTCAGCACATACTGTTTAGCAGCAATCGCCATGATAACTAGTCCATGGTGATCGTCGAATAGCGATTGACACAGCGGTTAAATGGTGATTGTTGAGTTTTGAAACGCCCGTCGTGTGTCTCGGATTGCGACACGCAATCTCAGTTATGACTTCGGTTGAATTTGAGGTCAGCCGGTGCCGTTCCGATCACTGGGACCGTATCCGAAGTGAGGTTTCGGTGTTGTTCTCGCACAGTTCACCACCACTTACACAGTATATGTAAACGACAACTTCGCTTTGGGCCCGAGTGACATAAAAACATCCGGTTTAAGCAAGCAAAGAAGCCGAGACATTGACTTCGGTACTATTCAAGTAGAAATGAAAATACAATATGCACGTACCTCAACAGTACCCGTTCAGTAACGATACAAGCGGCCTTCACAATGTCCAAAAGGAAGGCAAACTTTACTTGCCACCGTTCATAAAGATTCACACAATATCTAGTCCACAAGCGGCCTATGACCATCCTTTTTATTAGGTCCGTCAACCCTTGACTCATCGGTTCGCTATACAGCGGATGAAAGAGAACTAATAGGCAGGGCTGTTGGCGTGGTTTGGCTGACTCAAACAGGGGTAGGGAGGAATATGAAGATGCGTGCCCCTGGGGGGCGATAGGAGGATTCAAGCCTGCCGTGTGGACGAGGGTCGTCTTAACGGACTGCACAGTGTGGGAGAACGGTTACCACAGTGGGAGATGAACCGAAGCCAGGTAAACAGCGATAATAGGTCACGAGGGGTTAATCGGCAAGCCAGCGTTCGTCAGATGGGGTAGGCGTCTACTCTGGTGCTGCAGTGTGAGCTCCCGACATGAGTCTTGCTAATTACATAATACCTGTGTCGGTTGACATGTAACGTAAGCATGGACCAAAGAGTGGCTGCGTAACTAGGTGGTATAAGTCAAGAGTTACATCGTGGTATTCATCTTGCAAATTACGTAATTTTTATGTCAGGAGGGCATGCAACTATGGCGTGTAGAATGAGTAAACAAATAGTTGATGGGAATCCACTTAGATCGCGTCATCCATCTTGCGAATTTTGTGATAAATGTACCGCTAATACTACATGCAAGTGGCTCAGGCGCTGCATGGTTTTTTCTGTCTTTTCGCTTTGGCTATGGAAAAGAGTATCATCCCGTGTATGCGTTATCCGATAT